TAAAAAAAGTTGTGTTGCAATTAGAAATCTGCGATACACATTTAGGGTTAGTCTATCCGATCCTGATCAATTAATTTAGTCATTGATTAATATTTTGCAATAAGGAAAATACTAGCCGACTGAATCAATCAAGTCAATCTGGATCGACTAAATCACTATTCCATGAAGTCTATAGTTAGTCAACCATAGTTACGGTAAATGATAAATATATATATAGATATTAATTAAAATCCACTAAAATTGCCATCAATGCTAGATAACTAAATATAAAGTACTTCGTTTGACTATGCAAATATCTAGATAAATAACTAGTAACTATACAATCGGATTATTTTGGTGGTATATATATTATTTTAACAAAATTTTAAAATTTTACAAAATAAAATCCAAGATAAAAATGAGTTCTAACTATATGTGCAGACATTTGGAAGATATTTGGAAGATATTAAGAAGATCAAAAAATATTTTTTAAAAGTTTGATATGAGTTTAAGTAACTTGTTATTAATCTATTTTTATTTTCTATGTCTTAAAAAATATCAGATTCTAAAATTGGTTCCGAATCAAACCAATTTTAGTTTAGGTTTTTAATTTGGAACCTAAAGGTTTTTAGAACATAAACTAATTTTACCATTCTTATCCTTCACTAATTGATAACTCATCACTAATAAATGACCAATCCGACGATAGATCGTCAACTGTTTGCTGCGATAGGTTAGAGCAACTTGAACCATTTTCTGTTGAAATTTGTGGTGTTATATAACATTCGCTTGTAGGCAAAATAGCTCTTAATTGTTCTACTGCAATTCCTGCCTTCTTATGCGCTTGACGAATTTCCTCATAAGCCGATACAACCTATGTAAAAATATAATGTATACATACACATAATATATATATATATATATGATCATTGGAATTTTCATTTTTAGACCGTTCTAGAGGTTATTCTTAGAACGCACCATCAATGATTTAATAATGATAATTTTCCGTTGACTTGAGTCCATATTTTCTGTTCTAACTATTGGCGCTGGTGGTTGAACGACATTAATTCCTGAAGGTTCATGCGGGATTACAACACTTGTATTGGCTGGTAAAACTGTCTTCAATTGATTTGTTGCTATTTCTGCTCTTTTATATGCTTTGCTAATTTCCTCATAAGCGGATATAATCTAACAAAAAAAAAACATCCTTAGTAAGGTTTCCGA